GTATAAGCAAGCGACTAGTAACAATTCTGAATAAAAAGTGATCAGGAATTTAATATTATATGAGATTAAGGTGTTATTATTGCCGTCAGTGGCGCATGTCAGTACTATGGTTATTGGAGATCCTATGCCAAAGTGGAGAACGTGAGCCTACCACCTGAGGATTTACATGTGTTACATGTGACTTGATGACATCAACATCACGTACGTGGCATTCGAACGCACAGTGAGATGAAACTCAATCTAGGTGGTAAAAAGATTACATTCGTCATAGGCAGCTTCCTATCTCAACTTCCATAAAGTCATTCTAAGGATCCCATAAACCAATTTTCAAATTCATCCACAAAAACAATTTTGTAACTTTTGTTGCAATTATTTGAATTATTTGTAATTTCTTGGAGAAAATCTATTACCATTATCTCACCGTCCGAAATTCTGACATTTGGGGAGAAAATGCGCAAAATTTCAAAGTGATTCCTCAGTGAGAACCTGTGCCGTGTTTAAGTTAGTTTTAAAATTTTAATGATTTCGCGTCAATTTCGAGCATAATCCGCTATTTGAAAAATATTAGTGAATATTTTTACATAAAAATACAATGTCTTAGACGTGTAATAATAATAATTTATATGTTGCAACTACAAATATATATAAAATATTTGAGTTTCTGAAATTAGTATATGAAGCAACGTTTAAGACTTTAAACCACTGTATGTAACTGCAGGAATCATAATAACTTAAATGTGGCACGGATTCCAGTTGTCCAATCAATCTGGAATTTCGCGGAATAAATTTTATTATTTTGTCCTCAAGTATCGCAGTTTGGAACGGTAACTCGACTGCACTCGACATTGGTTTTATCACATTTTATGTTTGATTGTGCAATTCCCTGAATGATTATGATTATTAGCATACATCGCATCTGTATTCGAGTGTACAACTACTACAGACATGGCCAATCCTCTGACACTTTTTACAATGAAAAATTTCCTTAGGTTGTTCTACATGATACGTTGGTCCAACAGGTATTTATGACAAACAACTGTTGAGGTGAGTTGATTGAGAAAATGATACTATCGTCGATAAATATTCATCGCATTTATGGGTGATCTTCTTTCTGCTGTGTTGGTTACGCTTTTATTTCTGTTGGCTTCTGCCCTTCAATGAACTTCATGTCAGATTCTGACATCTTGTCCTACATTATCGGTTTCTGAGAGCCAGTTATATTGGTTATTATAGGTGTGTGTTGCGTTAACCTTCTATAAATTAAAAAGTTGGGAAGTTGCGATTGCGTGTTTCCCCACTGACGCAAAAAGGATATATGTATTTGTGTATGGCCTGTGTATGTTATGTAACCTAACCCCAACCTAACCCCAACCTAACCCCCAATCCAATGATAGGCCTGGATTGTAGCGTTGTAGTGTTGTGAAATTGACTTGTATCATCGCTCCAAGTTCCTCTCTCTCTCTCTCTCCCTCTCTCACCAGTTGAATCTGATGTAGAGGAGCGCTATTTACAGATAACAGGCACCCGCACACACTGCTCAAATTATCGGACGCATGTTGTCTGCTAATCTCGCAGTACTTTTTTTTTGTCAAACTCGCTAATAATCACCATACAACACGAGCTTGTTGCCCTGGGACACTTATTTTGTCAGGAGCTATGCTTCGGTATTTCTTCACTGGTCTTTAACGTGCACTCAGCACAACGCTCTCGTCGTAACTTCCTTAGTTGCATAATTCAATCGCTTTGCTAGCTATACCGTTGAATGAATAACCGATACTCTAGAAGATATACAGTCGGGGACGAAATAAGTAGATAGGTAATGGAAAAATCATTGCAGTTTCGTTAAATACGGCCCGTTTACATAGAAATGTAAATATTAATTTCAATTATCTACTAAATAATCTATCTACTGTAAGCATACAGTAGATTATTTATAGTAGATTAGTTATATATATATATATATATATATATATATATATATATACATAAAAGTATGAAGTAAATAAAACTTAAGTACTAAATAACACAATCACTAGGTCGATTAAGATTATGGACCGAGATTATGGTTATTTGGAATAGATATGTTGCAGATGCTAATCTCACTCGGAGGCAGCAAAAATATTATAGCAACAGCTCCGAGATTAGTGTGTATTTGCAATTTCCTGAAGTCTAAATTACCGTTGATATAAATTGTTACATTCCTACTTTGCTATTGTAGTATTTGCCCAATTTTTGCGAATGACATCAAATTCCTTAGTTCTGATATATTGAATTCTTCTAAAGTTGGTGTTTTGGAGATAGAGAATATGTAATTGGTACGTATTTAAAAGCCATTGAGGAATATTTATTTGTTTATATTATAAATACTTGTCTATAACGTAATTATTAAGCGGTTAACAATTATTAGATGTCGAATAATACGAGAAATTTAGTGGCATATCAATGTTCATTTCGAATGTTTTAAAGTTTAAAAGCGAGTTAGTTTCCTCCGTAATACCTTTTATTGTTTGAGCATGCCTTTGATATTCCTGTGGGAATTTCTCTTCACCAATCTCTGTTTAAGTTGTTGAATTGATCATTTCGAACTGTCATCGCTATCAGAGTAATTGTTAGAGTCCTTAGTCCTTTGAGATCGTGTTCGATTGATAGGTTTTGATTTGTTTTTAGTAATATCTGATTCGAAGAATATATCAATTATATTTTGGTTTGGTTGAATATGCTGCTGTTGTTGTAAATCGGTTACATGTATCACTTCTCCTGATGCTATCCCATTCGTGTTTGCATTAACATTCTCTGTATTCATACAATTGTTTGCTATGATTAGTGGTACCGCATTTTAGCCAGACGGCAAGATAATTTTTAAATGATAATTTTCCAAATGATTGGATTGGATATGGGCATCCTAGTTGCAAGCTCGCCCGATTTAAATTCATTGGATTTTTATTTGCGAACATACTTGAAATTCATTACATGTATACTCATTTCATACCGAAAATGTTGTAATATTTCGTCGTACAATTGAAGAGGGATTTCGATAAATTCAAGGAACATCAGACAGTATTGACAGAGTCATTAGATCGATAACAAAAGATCTTCGTGCATGCATTCAAATGCAAGTCATTTTAAGTATATTCTATGAAATATGAAATCGCAGAACACAAGACGCTGTACCTCCTGTAGAAAGTCAAACAGGACATATGTTGATAAGAACTTCTTTTGCTGGTGTTAGGTACTGAATTCTTTCCTTAAATATTTCCCACTTCGTCTACAAGACAAGCTACATTTAGTGCTGGTAATGACACTACCGTCCAGTCTGTGCAATAGAAAAACTAAACTTCGATTCACGTCATCACCAATAACCACCGGCGTTGAAAACTCTTACTTGAGACACACATTTCCATTGTCCATATTCCAAAATGGGGACAGTATTGATAACAAACCTGTTGATGATCTGTTGATCGTATAGTCCCGCAGGGAGGACTTGCTTATGTAAGTTTATGGGGGCTGGCAAACCCACGTTCCCGCAGCCAGGGAGGACCGTCGGAACAAGCGTCCCGCTTACGTGAGTCCTCTATGTACACCGCAGGGAAGGTCGCCGGGAGTTTAAGGCGTTTAAGTACGGTTACACTCTCTCTCTCTCTCTACATGGCCTAGCACACCCACGATCCTGATGCCAAGGATGGGACCGTCGGGATAAGTTCCCGGGTACTTTGTACCTTGAGGCCCCCGCTTACGTGAGTTTCATCTGGAACTGCCGAGCACGGTTAGCAGGTCGCCGGCCGGCATTAACGTGGCCGTACATCCACACGATAGTCCCACCAATGACTTAGGATGGTACCACGGAGGTCGAGTGTAAGCCCTTCTGCTCGGCCAATTATGGATTTGGACTCGTGGTGGCAGTGGTTGATGGCCAAGATGCTGGCAAGAGGGCCGATTTAAGGGGTATTGGCTCGCCCC